CCCTGTCCAAACAGGACCAGCCGCGTGGCAAGTCCAAGCGGACCCGGGAACGGGCCACGTGGGCGATCCGCATGCGCGCGATCGGACGGCCCAGATGCGTCCCCGCACGCACGGATGGCCAAGATCAAGCGCGCGCACGGACGGCCCAGATGCACGCGCACGGACAGCTCAGATTCAATCAAGTATGGACGGTCGAAATTTAATTGCGATGGACGGCCCGGATTTAATCCAAATTAAATCGCGATCGAACGGCTCAGATTAAATCAAGATGGACGGCTGTGATTAAAAGGCAAAGGGTATAAATAAACCCCCCACACCTGACCACAAAAACCCTAGCCGCCAGCCCTCGCCGGAGAAGACGAACCAGACGCCGGAGGAGCCGGCCGCCGCCACACCGGGGAGTTTTCCGACCGCCGATCGAGGTAAATTTCATACTCCCGGCTCGTTTTTCAATGTTGAGTTCCCCTGTGGCCAAATTGGAGCCAAACTCCCGGCCAAACGGCCAGAAAACACGGCCGAAACCCAGCAGCGCCGCCGCGCCCCTCCTCGGTTTTTGCCTCTGATGAGGCCCTTCCCGACATCCGTTTGATACAATTTTTATATCACCGTGATCACCATTCTTTTCTCTACAGGTTGATCGGAGCCAAATCACCAAAACACGAACCACGTCGAAGAGCCGCTGCACCCGAGAACACCGCCGCCGGTAAGCTTCGGTTTTTCGTAATTTTTTGGCCCCCCGAGGGCCCTAGGGTTATTTTATCGCAGGTACCGATGTAAGTGTGGCCGAATTCGGCCGAAAACGGCCAACCCGAAACGAATCGCCGTCGCCGGAGTACGATGGAACCGCCGTGCCGGAATTGCGATATTGGCCGAAAGGGCCCTAGGTCTGATTCTGAGATTTTTGGGACACGTGCAGGTACCGGTAGCGTGTTTCAGTTTTTTGAAAAAAAATTCAGGAAATTTAGGGATAACCCGTAGGCGCTCGGAAAAGCCTATTTCGGGTCCCGAAAACAAGTAAGGATTCCTCACCCTATTTCCTATCACGGTATTAAAGTGCAATAAATGATAAAATGGTATTTCATGAATCAATAGCTGTGTGAAATTGTTTAAGGTTGCTAATGGAGCCCGAGTCTAGTGTATTTGTCGGTCAGTTGTCGTTTGTTCTATTTTACAGTTTTAAATGCAGTATGATGTCTGATGTTTTTATTTCATAGTTTCGTGTGCATGTATCACTGTTTCATTGATTATGGACTGAATGACTGAGAACCCGATGTTGTGTGTTGTCTTGTTGGCATGAACTACTGGTTTGCATGTTTGTGTGTGACTTGATGATGGTGACTAAAGAAAAAGGGATAAAAGGTTATGTGAATTGGCAAACGGATAATGTGAACAGCCTGACTAGGTATCCTAGGAGATGGTGGACGGACCGGGTCCGTAGGGAACCCTACCGGGAACGTGGTCTCTCATACCGGATGGGGTATGGAGACCTGATGTGTTTTGGCACCCATACCGGACAGGGTATGGGGACGGCCCGTTTCACCTTCATACCGGACGGGGTATTGAGGTTTATGGTTTTGGCGCCCATACCGGACGGGGTATGGGGACGGCCCTGGAATCATGTTATAAATGTTAAGGGTTCACGGGTAGCGGGACCCCTATGGATCCCCATGGATACTAGTAGGCTGGTAAAGAGGAATTATGTTGTTTAAAGATTAATGCAACGCGTGATAAATGTTGTATTATAAAATCTATGTGATAACGTGATGATGATAATGTGTTGCTTGTGTATTGTTTTATGGATCTCATCCAGGTAAATGGAAAGTAAACGTTTTTATGAACAAATGGGTTTATTACAAATTATGCTCCATTAGGTCGTTTTTGTTTTCTACCCACCCTTACTCCTGTGGCAGTGAGGTAGAGTGACGTCTTTACTGGGCTAGTATAGCTCACTCC